CAACCCTTTAGCGTGATTGCCTTTATGAGACCAAGTGTCGTTGGAGAACAGCCTATGGCTGTGACATAGGTTCCTTCCCATAATCAGAAGATCGAAGGGGGTAAACCCCCGCTCAGTACTCCCATCGCCGCCGTGGGAAGTCCTCAGTAGCACTCGAACGGACCCTGAGACATTACTACGTAGGTCTCTCCAGTTATGGACTTAACATTGCCTTCTTTATCGTGTTACACCAATACAACCGATCCATAAGAAGTCTGGGGAGAAAGGATCGCTTTCAGAATCCATGAATATAGTCTTTGGGGATAAGCCCCCATGTGCAGCCAACCGCACGCCGCACCAGAGCCAGAGTGCGCGACCAAAAGTTGGTGCAAATTTCTCTTGCACCTGCTATTCCAATTTAGTCTGCCTTCCAAGATGATACAAGGTATTTCACTTCCTTGGTTCCTTCAGTTCCACCCAAACATACGAAAGGGCCTGATTTCCATTATTGATATTTTCGGTGAAAATAATTGCATTCCGTTTTTGTGCCATTCACGGACAAGTTTGTTTTGCCGCACCATTCTTCAACCACACTCGGTCCCTCAGTGTGTTCCAAAACTGACCAAATGTTGTTTCCCACGGCGAAAAAGCCTGGCGCCGACAACACAAACAGACAGAAAAAGCGATGAGCAGAACATACAGGCAAGCAGAAAAAAGGAAGCGAGTAGACAGAAGGAAACAGAAAAAAAAGCCGAGCATCAAGAACCAGAGCAACAGCCGGGAGCAAAGAAGCTCGAACAACAGAGTAGTAACAACAGAAACAGGTGAAATCACTCAACAACCACACAAATGCAATACAGGATCGCCGGGAAATGAAAACAAGAAATCAAGACAAGCAAGTATGGCAGGCTACACACGCACCAAGTAAAATAACGATGAAGGACGTCGAGGCCCATGGCCGAATGACAGCACAGAAATGGAACAACAAAAAAGCAAGAACATGGCAACGTAAAAGGAAATCCGCAACCAATACACAATTGCAGGAAACGGCCCAGATCAATAGACCTAAAAAATAGGCAAAAAAACCGGGAAAAGTGGCTCAAGACCTAGACAGGTCTGACCAAAAATCATAGGAATGTCATCAAAACGGCCGTAGGCCAAGCTCACGCGCAAAGACTCCTGAGAAAAAACATTCTTTATAACCCAGCTCTTACTAGTTAGCCCATAGTCAACCGAAACCAAAAGCGCCAGTTGGTAGGAGCCCAAAGTTGAACAACCAACCACACTCCAGTGGGCATGGACAAGCCTCATACCGATCTACAATTTCATGTACCAGCCTTAGTGACGCCTTCTTTCGCACCAGGAGACAACCTCTACGTCTGTTCAAAGAAAGTGAATCATACTTCTCGACCTACACAATTGTAAAATCGCACACGCGAGAGTGATGGTATGCCACGTTTAATCCGCTTCGCGAACCAGCTAGTATTGTAATGCCGTGCGTGTGGTGAGTGGAAATGACGCTACCCTCTACCGTATCGGCGCCTAGTACCAATCACTATAGTGCGCGGGCTCTGTCGCTTCGATCTGACAACCTGGGTCTATCAAGAAGTGACACTGCCAACCGTGAGGCGCTGCGTAGAGTCCGTTAGAATCGTCCTTGAATGTACGGCGTTGTGTGTTGAACATCATTAGAGCGTATGGTGTGGCGGGACGAGCCTACTTCAGCTTCGGTCTACTATGTTTTCTTGTGTATCAGATCCGTTCTCATATCGTCTCCTCTCCCCTACGAAGCAGCACACCGAGCGTCGAATAAGGCTGATCTGTGACTCCCTGCATTACCTATAGCTGATGCGTAGCTGGGCGTCATTAGCCACAGAAATCTCTCTCGCGCGATAACAAGTGATCTGTCTGGTGCACCTATCACAGCACCTCCGGAGAAGCAAATCCAAGTCCAACTAAAGCCGGCTAAGGCCTAGCGCGCCGTAGCGTACCCGACTGGAGCCAGTAGAGTGTTGCATAATGATCGTGGCTGTATGCCTTTGGTATAGGTATCAGTGCCAAGGAACCACCCGATAGTTCACCTACTTACTAGGCCCGGCTGACTTGTAGGGCGTGTAATGTCAAGAAAAGCAAACTCAGGCACCCCTGGCCACCCATTCTCCGACCATAGCCGTAATTGCCAGACTACATTTTACTACCCCTCCCATCTTCGCGCAAATTTATAATCACGTCCGTTTGGCTAGCACACTACCTTAACTGAGACGGAGTTCATATCACCCAAATTCCTCCCTCTAGAGTTGTAGACTCCCCTCCCTTCACTTGTAGATCACTTCTCCCGCCCGGGAAGTTGGAGTCCTAAATCAAGATGGCAGACTCAAATGGTTAGCTTCAGTCAGATCTTGTGTGAATAATATAATATTCGCCTGACCTCGACGTCCGCTGTCGTTTTCATAGCCCCAATCCCACATCACGCATTGGCGTTAGCAAAGGACCTAGATCCCTATCCAGCCCCAACGTCTAGAAACTGCGTTCATGGCCAAGAGCTTCCAACAACGTGTTACGATAGTTTTCACAGATAGTTCTGTCCAAACTTACCGCCTTATATATGGCAAAAGGCAGGACTTAATCCAATAATTCGCAAAATATAGTCACCCTTCCTTTCCTATGCCTCCACGGAGAAGAGTATCACCCTTTCAGTTGTCTCCGGTCTTGATCGGCGAGAATCGTTGTGCCTGAATGTGGGTATCGCACCAGCCTAGGTCTAATCTCTAAACTTATTCTTTCAATCCGTGTCTTCGAAGACCTTCCATTTCCCAAACCAATGGACCTATCAGACTTTCCGATCTACCACTCTTGATGCTTAGCATAGTCCTAGAACTACCGGGACCGTCCCAAAAGTCGATTCGAAAATCCCCAAAGACAGGGCACACGTGGAACGTCGTCTCTCCACCAAACCCAAGAGAAAGAGACCGTCCCGACCTTCTCTTGGGAAAAACCCGCGTCAGAATACGTTCGCACCTCGCTAAGATCAGCCATGATCCAGAGCCCAGTTCACCATGACGCAACGCCTGGAATGCCTGGAAATCGATCTTCGCGCAACCACAATTTTCCCAGCCATGCCTTAGAACAAGATCGCAGACCAAATACACAGACGATTAGGCTCCCGGACGATGAATCGGTAGATGCGGAAAAGTGTCGTCTCGGAGGAACATATCAATCATCAGCGATATCATGTTGCGAGCAAAACGTATGCCTTGAAACAATGACCCAGCAGTTCCCACCAGGCTCCATAAGCCACTCGCTACTCGTACCATATAAGTGTATATGACTGAGATAAGGTATGCGTTGCACTGCCCAAAATACGTTCTTCCCACGATCCCAGATACAAGAGCCCGCTCGACGAGTTATGCTGAGCTACAGAACCAGTCCGGACCAATCACGACTAAGAAAGGCCCGTGTCCAAACGAGCCTACCCTGCAAAACAGCCGCCCAGTGTT